GGTCGGGGCGGACGCCGCGCTCGCCTGCGCCTCCTGCCCGGGCTACGACGCTTGGCCCTGCGCGCCCGAAGAATTGGGGACAGTCGCCAGGCGCTGTCGTCTCCTCTGGTGCAAACGCCAGTTGTATCGCCCGGCGCTGCGTGATGCAGAAGCGCCTCGATGAGCGCGTGCCTGCCTTCTTGGCGGGCGGGGGCCGGCACCCCCTGCCCCGGTCGTTGCAACGAGACGCGCTGCTGGAGTTCCACGTTATTTTGCTGGCATCCCCTCTGCAACTTCAAAAAAGAAGCGTATTAGGTTACAAGCCATCGGCAGCTATCCTACGTGTGTGCATTGTGGGGCTGGCGGGGAGGAGAAATGATTTAATTGGAAGGCGAAGAACAATCATGCCTGCGCTTCAGGTCCCTTGGAGAGAAGCCACCCGGGTAGAGCGGGCGAAGGAGGGATGAGCATCTTTAAATGGTGCAGAGGAAAAACATCTGAAGGGATTCTGGAAGGGTAATCTGCTTCATAGGCTCACCATCTGCCCTACCAATTGCTAGCCTTTGATGGACAACTTCTGAAGCACTCCTTGTGTCTAATCTGCAGTTTTGTCATTTTTCCTAATAAAATACAAGTATCTTGTGTTATATAAATTGCTTTGGGTCCATGAACCAAAGGGTTAATAGTCTCTAAATAGGAATAACACACATGTCCCTTAAGCACCTAGTGCTTTAAGAGCCTACGTGGTAGGCGCTTTTCAGCATTAACATTCCTGTTTACAGTTTAAAATCTAGTATAAACAGTGCCAATAAAGATTGAACAAGGGACAATATCAAAATAGTTCAGGGTTGAGAGCCCTAGTTACGTGGGAGAGGAGGAAATCCTATTGAGGCAATCTACAAATAGTGCTAAAAATAGGAAGATCTCTCCCCACTTGCTTCTTTCAGGGAAGAGAGAAATGGTGGATGTTGGAGATTATCTACTCTACAGGAAGGGAAGAGTAGTTGGGTGTGAGGGGACTTGCTCAAGTCAGTTGGTGGTCCATGGCATTGCAAATTTAGATGCTTTTGGCGGGGTTAATAGTGGTTGAATTGTGAGGCTCATATGATTAGCCAGTGAATGAGAGGAGACATAGCTAGATGGATTTGGTGTGAAGGAGTTAACATTTGGAATATAGCACTGCAGGGGCTGGTGAAATGATGGAATCTGAGAAAGGGAGTTGTGTCTTTGAAGAATGTGATTAGATTGGTATCTCTTGTGATCCTGAGCAAGCAGCCTTTTTGTGCAAAAGGTAATTGCACTTCTGCAGGTGGGTGAAGTAAAGATAAGACATCAAGAAGCAGTTAGATTCTGCTCTATTACAAAGCAGTGCAAACAACATAAAGATGCTTGTGCTTCTAATTTTAGTGCAACCGGTTTAAGGACAACCCATAGTTAAGAGCGGACCCTATTGTAGCAAAATTCGAGTTAAATACACAATGCTTTGAGTTCATTTCACAACACTACTTATACAATATTATACAATAATACTGTTCTGGCTTACATACATATTCAACTTTGGGAATGGAACTTGTTCTTGAACTGGGGACTACCTGTAGTGTATAGGTTGTAGCTATGGTAGCAATAAAGGGTAAAGTTTCCTCAACATCTGTGACTTCATGGGCACATACATAGTTTGTCATCACCTTCTTCCAGATTGTGTGTTTTAAACTTCCCAGTCTAGCCTACAGACTGGCATTTCCTGGTGGTCTTCCATCACATAGAAATCAAGTCCAATCATATTTAGCATTTGAGATGAGTTTTGCATATTGATCCCTTCCAGGAGAAAGATTCTGAGTACTTGAAGGACTGATTCTGGTGAATCAGTGGGAGGTAATTTACTTCATTGCATTTTTTAAACTTGTCAAAAATAGTTACAGGTAGTCCTTATTGAACCTGTTCAAAGTTACAGTGCCGCTGAATGAGGGAGACTTATGACCGTTCCTCGTAGTTGCCGCTGTTTCAGTGTCCCTCTGGACGCAATTCAAGCATTTGGTGACCAGTTCGCAGCGTCCCGCAATCACAGGATCACCTTATGTGAAATTCACTGCCGGCTTCAACAAGCAAGATCAATGGGGAAGCCGACAGGAAGTCACAAATGGCAATCATGTGACCACAGGACGATGTGACTGTGGGATTCGCCTAACAACGGCAACTGGGACTGGTGCAACTGCTGTCGTAGGTTGGTATGGTCACATGACATCACACTTTATGACTGCATCACTTAGTGGCGGAGTTGCCAGTGCCGATTACCATTGCTTTTTTTGAAGACTTTGTTTGCAGAATAAATTAAATTATCATTTCTAACCCTCATTCTTTGTAGGTAACCATGAGTGATCGAAAGGCTGTGATCAAAAATGCAGATATGTCTGAGGAGATGCAGCAGGACTCTGTGGAGTGTGCTACACAGGCCTTGGAAAAATATAACATTGAGAAGGATATCGCTGCCCACATAAAGAAGGTAGTACTGAACCATCATCCCATATCTCTACTTTAGAATTCTTAGTTTGAAACAGGTGCTGCCAAGAATATAATCTAAACTGAGGTAATAAGTTAATAGTAAAGTAGTACCCAGTCCTAATTGCCAAAGAAAAGTTCTACTTGTGTGATGGAGGGTGAATAGAAAGTCTTGGGAATATTCTGGACTACAAGAAAAGAGAGAGTTATTTTCTTGTACACAGCCTGGTCAGTATGGGTGGCCTAATTTAAATCTGTATTACACAATTAATCCTAGAGGACTGACACTGATGAAATGCAAAACTCACCAATTATGGAGTGGAAAAGTTTGTTCACCCTTGGGACTGTGCCAAATCTCTGCACCTAAGATTTTGCAGGGTCGGTTTGGTGGTTTCTGGAAGTAAGTTCTCTGAACCAGAAGTGTTATGCTGTGTTCTTGTTCTCCCCCTGGACCATACAAGCCTGTTTTAAGGCCAGACCACTCCCCGTACACTTCAAAACGTTTTCAGTTTGGGGAATTTACTTCCAGAAACTGCCAGATTGCCTCCTGAATAGGAGGGTCCAGAGGATGTTTGGCTTAATCCAGAGGGAGGATAGAAGTTTCTGGAGCTCTTCAGAATAGTCTGTTCTCAAATTGGTGAGTTTTGTATAGCGTTAGTTGACACGCAACTGCAGTCTTCTGCATTTGGCTAACCTAGCGTGAGCCGAGATTCTGGGCCTGCCTTTCAATATAGAAAAATGCTAAGTGATAGATCCTTTAGGCCTGATGCTTTAACAGGTACAGTGATGCAAATAACTTTACATTAACCAATGTGCTATTATCCCAAGATGCATAGATTAAGATGAGATGGTAGGCTTCTGTAAAACATGCTTAAGATCAGCTCTGGAAAGGTGCGCAGGTACTGATAAAAACCAGTTTAATGACCCTGGTCCTTCATAAGCAAGGTTCTCTGTTTCAGCGGATCAGTCATTATAGCTGTCCACGATAAATGTTCAGACCCATTCACGTTGTTATTCCTCTATCTACTACGCTTTTTGGTATGTACAAAACCTGCCATTATGAGACTACAGTGTTTTGGACTCAAGAGTATTCAGTTGCTTCTCTGGACCGTGCTGTTCGAGAGGCGATCCCTGGTTTTCCAGATACATATTCTCATTGAAAACAGCAGAGACCACTTCCAATTCAGCAAATTACCTCTGGATCAATGAGGCCCAGAGGAATGGAACATACTGGAATGTTCCCAGAACCATAGATTTTGCATCTATAATACTTCTATATTTATATTATCTAGTTGCAAATATTGTTATCAGTAGTACATACTGATTTAATTACTGGAAAGGGTAATGTATATATACCTTTATTTATAGTTTCCCTTGACACTCCAGAATTGGTGAAATGACATACGAGTTCTGGCTTAAATAATTTTCATAATACCTTGATGAATTTGCTGAGGGTTCAGACTGAAGCAGTTCTTTTATGCACTTTGCTGTTTTTGATAGATGGAAAAGAATACTATGCCATTAAAAAAGGTAGCTTCTCCCATCTGAGATTTGTAAGGGTGCTCAAATAATATGCTCCAAAAAGTCCAATTAACACCCGAAGCACGTTATTACCACTGCAAATTTTAAGGGCTTGGGGTTGGAACCTTTTGTCTACACACCAGAAAGAGAATTGGTGAAGATCATGGGATATGCTGTAACTAAACATGTTCAAGAGTTAAAATTCAGTAAGTTGGAATAAGACATGCTTTCCAGTTTAACAGATTGAGTGAAAATATTAACATCTGTGATGCTAAGATGTTAAGGGGTTCTCTTCCAGGAGTTTGACAAGAAATACAATCCTACTTGGCACTGCATTGTGGGAAGAAATTTTGGCAGCTATGTGACTCACGAGACCAAACACTTCATCTACTTTTACCTGGGTCAAGTTGCTATTCTCCTTTTCAAATCCGGTTAGAATATGGGACTTTTTCACCCAAATACGC